AAAATATTATTTATATTGAGAAATAAATTCAACAAGAGTAAATACAAAATTATTTAAATAAATATAGTTTAAATAATTTAACATGATATTTATTTATATAAGACTATATTAACAATATTAATGCTAGTATAATTATAACAAATATAGACAAAATTTAATTTTTGAACTTAAATAAATATTTCCTAAAAGAATTGATAATTAGAAATAATTTTTAAAAATGATGTAACATTTTAATAAAAATTTATATATTTTATGAATTAATTATAAATATGGTTTAATTTTTAATGAAACATACACGCAATATGTAAATTAATTTGACTTACTTCATATAAATTTATATTTATATATTTGATTTATTATTAAAAATATAAGTTTAAATAATTATTGCTTAATGCTTGCTTATTGCTTAATACCTATGAAGCTAATTGATTTCTAATTATAATTATGTATATAAATTATTTTATATAAATATTAATTTGGATCTATTTAAATATTTACACAAAATATTGCATATAGAAATAAATTTATAAAAGTTTAACTAATAATACTATTAATATGCCATAATTTGACATATCCATATTAAATATTTAAAAGCAGTACAATTAATACAAGTTATATCAAGAGTAGATTAATATATTTTATATTTATTACAGTTTATAATAAATTACAAAATGCATTCATTTAATGAGAGATATATCGCTAATAAATTGCAAATTAAACACAAAATTCGTAATTATTTTGAGAGCAATTACAATTTCAAGGTCGCAATCACAAATATCGAAACGTACCTTGCTAATAAATACGTCAACATCTATGGCAGTTGCGATGAATACGTGTCCGGACACTACCAGCCCCATAGAGTACGGCTGGTTATTGTGGGCCAAGCTATATCAATACTCTGGCTCATTTATCTGATTATATTCACCCTGGGTGGAATACATTTGCTTAAACCGCTAGATTATAGCGGTTATGTGACTGATAAGCCAGCAATATTATATACTA